GGGGGGGTCCGAAAACCAGTCAGTATCTGGTGTGAGGGTTAGGATTGGGGTAATGTTGTGAATCGAGTGGCCCATGGTGGTGGTGAGGTTATGGTATGGGCAGGCGTATGTTATGGATGACGAACACAGGCCACTCGATTCACAACATTACCCTAACCCTAACCCTAACCCTCACACCAGATACTGACTGGTTTTCGGACCCCCCCCAGACCCCCCCAATAAAGCAAAACTGCACGTTTCAGAGTGGCCTTTTATTGTGGCCAGCCTAAGGCACACCTGTGCAATAATCATGCTGTCTAATCAGCATCTTGATATGCCACACCTGTGAGGTGGGATGGATTATCTCGGCAAAGGAGAAGTGCTCACTATCACAGATTTTTTCAGATTTGTGAACAATATTTGAGAGAAATGGTTATTTTGTGTATGTAGAAAATGTTTTAGATCTTTGAGTTCATCTCATGAGAAATGGGAGCAAAAACAAAAGTGTTGCGTTTATATTTTTGTTCAGTGTATATTCCTTTATTCATGTACCTTTGTTATTCATGTTTCTTGATGCTCTTAATTTCTTTCATTTTTGTAAAGCACTTTGAATTGCCTTGTGTTGAAAGGGGCTATATAAATAAACTTGCCATGCCTTGCTTTGCTTTACAGTCATGACAAAAAAGATGAAATCATATTAGTGTTACAATTGCTAATGTTTGGGGATTATTAGCAGGATTACAATGTCGGTAAAAATGTTTTTTTTTGCATAGTGGCTCTTGAGTATCCTTTATTTTGCAACTTTTACAGCGTACACAAAGTATGCAGTATACATTTGAGACACATAGGCTTGAGGTAATAGATATCAGAATGACGGTACATTTAAACAACTCAAGTTAAATAATCTCTAGGTGAAATGTGTACAGAATACAACATAATTAAATAGGCAACACTCTCATAGTTAGTTCAAATAATATATAATGTATACACTATAATGCATTGGATGTATAAAGGTGTTACATCTGCATCAGTTATTTTTTAAATCCAGATGAAGGATCGACCATGCATTAATAACACAGCTACCTCCTGAGCTAGGGCAATAACCAAGCTCCATTTCAGTGAAAGATTAAAATGTGCTGCTGTCCCACCTTGAGACTAAATTGAAATATTATCCGCCCGAGGTCATCAACCCTGGACCGGAAAACAAATCAATGTGTGTGTGTGTGTGTCTGTACCCTCTCTGATAGCAGTGCACGGCGCTCCCTCCTCGTGCTCCAGCCGAATCTCCTTCAACGCCACCAGGTTCTCTGTGAGTTTGCTTCTCCCTTTGAACACTGTGGCATATGTCCCCTATGAACACACACACACACACACACACACACACACACACACACACACACACACACACACACACACACACACACACACACACACACACACACACACACACACACACACAGGTAATCGAATATTCTAAAAAGCTTTTAATCAAATGTCTTTTTTTTCTATTAATAGCAACATAATTACTACATTGATTGGATTGGAATCCGTTTCATCATCCCCAGCACATTAACATAAATTAAAAACAGATAATGTATTCCATCTTACTGAATTAGATTATTAGTTTAAAAAGCTGTCATCCATGACAAGCCTCAACAAACTACGTGTCAATGTGATTCAAGCTTCTCAATCAGGATTTGATTTAATAAATGCAGTTAATGCATATTTATTTTTTCAGGGATATGATCATTTCTGATTATTACACAACATATCTGAATACTGGATTCTGATTGGTCAATTTGAACATCAGAGCTTGTTAATACTCGCTAACAGACTGTTGCTTAGGAGGATCAAGGGACTATATGCAGACATATCAATCCGCAGAAAGAAGTCCGGTCAATTTAACGTCAGCTGTGGACAACAAACCTTAGTTTTGTTCATCAGAAAACACCCTGGAATATTTGTTTATATATTTGTTGAGAGCACGTAACGTTGGATTCATTATAGCTAAACTTTCCCCAGTAAAGAGAAGAAAAAAAGAGTGCAAGAGGAGGAAAGAGGTTAAAAAATAGAGAGCTGGATGCCAGAGAAATCAACAGAAGAAGACAGACAGGAAGTAAACACTAAAGGGAACAGCAGAACAAGACAGACAGGAAGTAAACGCTAACGGGAACAGCAGAAGACGACAGACAGGAAGTAAACACTAAAGGGAACAGCAGAAGAAGACAGACAGGAAGTAAACACTAAAGGGAACAGTAGAAAAAGACAGACAGGAAGTAAACACTAAAGGGAACAGCAGAAGAAGACAGACAGGAAGTAAACACTAAAGGGAACAGCAGAAGAAGACAGACAGGAAGTAAACACTAAAGGGAACAGCAGAAGAAGACAGACAGGAAGTAAACACTAACAGGAACACAGCATGGGCTCTGCAGTGTCTAAAGACTGGTTAATGGGAAAGAAAATGAACAGACTTGGACAGTTACAGAAAACCTCGATCAGTGCTGCCGTCATTTTAAGTTACGTTTCAGTCGAACGCTTCTTAGCTGAAGCAAAAAACCCATGAACCCATCACATAATTTTTATTCAAGTCAAGTCGTATGTTTATAGCAACTATTGCAAGTGAGCTTAAAATGCCAACACTAAAATATTCGGATATTGAGAAATAAACATCAGCGGATAAGATACATTTCATAATTGCCACATGTTCAGATGGTTGTCTCTCGCTGGATATAAACGGTGCCTTTGAGAGCCTCAGTTCATGATAATTGACAACAAAAGCATCTCTCTTCGATCCTTCACCACCGCTGTTATCTGCTGCTGAGTCTTGTGACCGGAACTAAGGCGGACGGATTCTGTCATTATTCATTCCTGACTCCTCAGAGGGCTGTCAGATAAATGCTGAGGGATTTAGGTGCATTGGCTTCTGCTTAACATGCATGTGACACGATTACATAATCAGGATTGAAAAAAACTAAAGTATTCCCTTACAGTTACATAAACAAATAGGGGATTACCATGTTAGTAAAAACCAAAGAGCATATAGTCAATAAAATAATATCTTCTTCTTTTCTAAGGTCACATGTTGTCTTATTTAATACACTTATGTTTAAAGCATGTTAATGCAATTTATTTTCCTCTTGGATTTATTTGCATTGCATTTAATAATTAGGTAGTCCAAAAGTAACGAAAAGGATTTAACTTTTACATTTTTGACATGTAACTAGAAATTGTAACGGATTAGATTTTTAAACTAACCCTCCTAACTCTATTTCTAACTATTGCACACATGGTTAATAGCTTGTACTGTGTTGACATATAAACAAACCTAAGTGTTGTACACATGTTGACAGGATCCAGTCTCCTGAGGGCCTTGACTCACCAAAGTCTTGATAAGTATAATGAACACTGGCAAACAACCTGTGATCAGCAAACCAGTGACATGCTTAATTTGTGTCTGAAGATGTTCGCTTTAACTTGGAGTTAACATCAACATCCACCGTCTGAAAAATAGTATCGGCAGAGACGTACCTCTCCCAGTTTGCCGAGCTTCACGTACGTCTCCAGTTTCCCGAAGCCTATGTCGGACTGTAGACAAAATGAAGAGGTAGATTAATCGTTGACTGATTCTGTATCACTGTGGAACATTTAAAAGATAATTTTGCACTCATTACTTCATGTTTTTCTCGTGTTCATTAAGCGCAAATCTTTCTTTTACTCCAGGCAGAAAATAAAAGCCTATTACGGTAATGGAGAACTGGGGGAATCATCAGAGAAATGGATTCATTATAATATTAATACAAAAGGACCGAAATAACAACAGGAAGGATAAGAGATAAGAGCAGTAGTAATTTGCTGAGAGTAGGAAATGAGATCTGTAATATGAGCCGGGACTTGGCTCAAGGGTAATCCGGCAAATGGATGGTCAAACAAAGAGCCAACTAATATGGGATGTATAGTTAATGAGATCAGATAAGCATGACAGCAGTCGATATGAGAGGATAGACAACCACTGGGATTTGAACACTTTATAGGCAGGTTATTAGCAGAGGTGGGAATTAGTGGAGTACAAATACTTCGTTTCTGTACTTAAGTACATTTTTCTGGTATCAGTAATTTACTCCACTACTTATTTTTCTGACGACTTTTTACTTTGACTTCTTACATTTTGAACACAAATACCTGTACTTTCTACTTCTTACATGTTGAACACAAATACCTGTACTTTCTACTTCTTACATGTTGAACACAAATACCTGTACTTTCTACTTCTTACATGTTGAATACAAATACCTGTACTTTCTACTTCTCACATTTTCCAAACAGGCTGGTTCCTTTAGTTTGAATGTGTGTTTGGTGGCGTGATCATTATTATTTAGAGTCATTGCGTGCCTATTGATTTGAACACGATCCGTGTATCCATCATTTCCTGGTCTTCTCTAAAGAAGAGGGACCAATGAAAACGTTGTCATGTTGCCGTTGTTCAGCATGGAAACATTCATTAGCTAACAATGACATTATTGTTCTATTAA